TTTCCCTTTCATTCTCTCTGGTGAAATTTTAAAAATAATAATAACAAAATGGAATTGAACAAATAAGTAATTCTTTAAAAACAAAACAAAAAAACAGTTCTTGCACACTTGGGAGGACTACTCTTGTGCCTGCCCCAAAAGCAGAACATGCACCCTCCACGGGCAGTGGGCCTGAAACAGCCCCGCCCAACGCCTGCAGCGTGGCCCATGTGGCCAACCCAGCCCGCTGCTCCCAGATTTCCTGGGGCCCTGCATCCCCACCAGCACTGACGGATGGCCCTGCCACCTGCTCTTCTGCCACACAGCGCCAGCAGCAGGGCCATCTCTGGTATCACATGAGGTAGGGATCAAGTGGCCCTGGGCACAGGCCAGGTCTGGAGCAGGCAGGGGTGGGGTGGGGGCGGGCAGGAGCCTCCACTTGCAGGAACCTTCTGAGTAGCACCACTGCTTGTACGGGACACGCAGCGAGGCTGCCCTTCCGTCCTGCCTGAACAGCAGAGGTTGTGAAGGATGGAGTAGCCAAGGCTGGTGAGGGCTAGAGAGACAGGGACCCTGGGAGCGAGAACCTGCCTGATCCCCTGCAGAAGTGACTTGGCGACAGTCTTAAAGGGGATTGCAGTTCCAGCGCTCTGACCCTGGGCATCCTGACAGCAGTGCTTACATCAGCAAAAGTCCCTCCCTCCTACAGTGCTGCTACCGACCATGGCAGACCCCTGGCCTTAAAAAAAAGCCCACCAAGGGAACCAGCAGTTGGCGTAATGGCTATGTTGCTGGAATCCCCACGTGGTTGACCGTGGTTCGTGTCCCGGACCCGGTGGCTTAAAACTCACGCCGGGCACGTGTGTGCATGCCCAAGATCCCGAGAGGAGAATGGAGAAGGGATTGCGGCGTGACCATCCCCCCAGGGGGTGATTTCTCGCTTTCTGTCTCTATGTCTCTCTCTGTCTGACGAACGCACGCACCCTATAGCGAAAAAAACTCTCAAAAAAAATAAATTAATAAATTAAAAATTTTAAAAAGCCCACCAAGATCCATTTGTAATATGGAAAAATGCTCGTGGGGTAACAATCGATGATAAAAATAAGAGTCACGTGTCTACACAGCCTTGGAAGCAAGGGATAAGCAGTACCTCACAGCAGGGAACTCTCACTAGATACAAGCACTCAAAATGTATCAAATTGTATTCTTTATAGACAACGCGTGTATCACACACAGTTACAGCTCAGTAAAACTGCTTTTAAGAGAAGAATTGAAAGTGACAGAAATTTGAAAGAAGTGTTCTAGGGACCAGCAGATAGTGTAGTGGTTATGTCGCTGGACTCCCATATATTTGATCATGGTTCAAGTCCCAGACGGGGCAGCTTAAAACTTACACACATGTGCGTGTGTGGCCAAAATCCCGAGGAGAAAGGAGGAGAAGGGATTGTGGCATGGCCATCCCCACTGAGGGGTGATTTCTCGCTTTCTGTCTGTCTCTCTGGTGAGCACATGCAACCTACAGCAAAACTCTTTAAAACAAAAGAAGTGTTCTATACAGCCAGAGTCCCCAACCCTGGGCCACAGATCTGTACCGATCTGTGGCCTGTCAGGAACCAGGTCCCATGGCAAGAGATGAGCAGCAGGCAAGCGAGGGAGTGAAGCTTACTCTGTATTTACAGCCACCTGAGCTCCACCTCCTGCCGGATGGGCAGCAGCGTCAGATTCTCACGGGAGTGTGAACCCTACTGCCAACTGCGGTGTGAGAGACCTGGATTATACCCCTTCCTAAGCCAGCCACACCCACCAGGTGCCTGGAAAATCTGCCTTCATGAGACCCATCCCTGGTGCCCAAAAGGTGGGAACCACTATTCTATGGCATCATCTGAGCTGTCAATACATACGTCGCGGGGTAAACAGAAAGGACGCGTGTTCAGACGGCCACGCTAGAACGAGATGCCAGGGGCTTTTCCTCGCCTGGCTGTTTCCTCTAAAGTGCACTTGTAACTTCTATGTGAACTAAACGTACACATGTTAAATTTGCAAGGAAAAGGGTCTGGCGGGGTCTGTACTTTACAGGTTGAAGCCAGGCTACAAGGGGCTCAGGTTCAAGCAGGCCAGGTACACCGAATGTGTCTCACGGCCAGGAGCCCAAGCCCATCTGCCTGGAGACCAGAGCCTGGAGCCTGGAGGCCAACCCCCCCCACCCTCCCACTATCAGGACTGCAGCCTCCAGCCTCTGGTCTGGCCAGAGCGGGGAGGGGCTACTTCCCAGCCCTACCTGCTGGTGGCCGAGGCAGGTGCTCCGTCAGGGGAGAAGATGCGGTGCAGGTAGTCGTTAAGCAGCTTCTCATGCACGATGCCTAGACCACAGGTCAGAGGGGAGAACTGGGTCACTGGGTCACCACAGCTCCCAGCCCCTGCTGGTCCCAGCAACTTCTGGTCCTAGGCCAGCCCTGGGGTCAGGAGACCAGCCACATGGGTGGCCTGCCCGTTGGGTGCTGGCGGAGAGCTGGCTCACAGGGACCAGGGGCGCAGTGCGGCGAGACGAGGCTGGACCTGGGACGCTGCTGCTCTGGCCCCTCCCCTCCTTCCCAGCAGGAGGCCCCTCCCCCGCCCCAGGCCTTACCAGTGGCCCTGGATTTCTCGGCATCTGAGGTCAGCCGATAGCTCTTGCGGGAGAAGGACACGCCGGTCCCCTTGGACGCCATCCTTCATCTCTCGTGGGCTGTGGCGGTCCTGAGGCCGAGCCAGATGCAGACCCTGTCGACGCCTGGCCGGCCTGGGGCTCTTGCACCTGAGCTCAGCCCTGCGATGGCAGGAAGGTCCAGGAGCAGGCGAGGCTGGAGGCAGAGCACTCCCGAGTCCAACCCAGGACAAAGGAAGCAGAGGTTTTGGGCTTCCCACACGGAAAGGGGAGGTGGGGCGACAGGGACCACGTCTGGCTCCCTCCACAGTCCGAGTGCCCACTGCAGGGCCGGCAAAGAGCCGGACACACGTTGGCTGCGCCGGAACTAACATCTCGGCTCTAGGATATCAGGCCTGACCGTCTACAGTGAGGTGGCCTGGGGCAGGGCTGCTGGGCCAGCGGGGCGGCCAGGCCACAAATCCAGCTGGGTCCAGCCTCTCTCCAGAGGCCAACCCCACCAGCGCCCTGAGGGCACGCCACTGCAGGCCTGGCCTTCTCCAGCCAAGAGCCCCTCTCAACCCCGCTTCCTCCCTCCTGCCCTCGGTCCTGCCAGCGTCCCTGCTCACACACACGTGTGGCCTCTTGCCCCATCCAAGTGCCGCCTTGCCCAGCCCTCAGCACAGACTCTGTCAGTCTTCCTGCCTCGGTCTGTCCCTCACATGTCCCGCAGCTGCAGCTGCTCCGGAGGCGGCAGTGTCCCTGGTGCTGTCCGACCCAGCAGCGCCCGCCACGTGTGGTCATTCAAAGTTGCGTTGACGTTTTAACATTAGAAATTCAATTAGCAGTGACACTAGCCACACTCGCTGGCTCGGTGACCAGGGGGAGCACAGGTGCCGCATTCCCATCATCGCAGACAGTCCTCAGCGGGTCCCCCAGCTCTGACGTGGCCAGCCCCGTCTTCTCGGGAGCCCTCTTATCTCATCCCCAACAGGCCCTCCGCTCCCGCCACAAACGCTGCCGTCCGCACCGCGCCTGCTCCTCGGGAGAGGGACACTCCCACCCCGCCAGCCCCTCGTGGGCCTCAGCGGGCGTCCAGGACCCGCACCCCTCACCCCAGAGCAGGTGCAGGGCTGATCAGACGCGGTCAATCATTTGATCAGCAAACCTTCCAGACGCCCACTCTGGGTGTCAGGCGCTGCGGACCCAGGTGAGAGGGGGCCCCTGTCCCTGCCCCTGCCCAGGGACTTCCTGTCTCAGCGATCCCGTCCGACTCCGCCGAGGGCCCCGCTCCTGGGTCCGAACCGACTCAGACTCGGAGTCCAAGGACGCCGGGGGCAGCGCATGGCTTCCCCGAGTAGCCCCACCTGGCCCCAAGCTCCGGAGGACCTGCCAGGCCGGCTCCCGCCCGGAGCTCCACGCCACTGGCCGCGACCCCCGCGCGACGAGCGCCCTCGCACCGAACCTGCTGGAGCCGCGAGGGGAGCCGCGGGGACCCACCCAGCTCACAGCCCGGCCGCCCCTCACTCACCCCCAGACTCGGCCGCCGCGACCCGACTCACAACATCCGCCCAGCCTTTCGGCTACGGCGCCCGTCCAGGGCCAAATCGCGCTCCAGCTCGCGCGCCGCGCCACCAGCCGCGCACGCGCACCGACCCGCGCTCGGCCTCGGCCCAGTCCGCGACCTCCAGCCGGGTCCTTCCAGGCCTCAGCTTTCTGGGAATGCCCAGCTGCCTCCGATCCCCGCCCACCCTGGGATGCCTCTATCCCCGCAGTGGCGGAACGCCGTCCTTACCCGGATCCCTAGGCCGCCCGTCTCAACTCCTACCCTAACTTGGGTGCCCGGCCCAGGTTTTCCCCAGGATGTTTGACAGACTGCTCCTGCCGGTGTCCCAGCCTCCTGACACCCCCACCTCGATTTGGGCCCAACAGGTGGCCTGCTCACCTTCCTCGGGATGTCACTCTGGCCGCTGAGGTGACCTGGCTGAGTCCTGCTGCCGGGGCGGTGGCCGATCTGCCACAGCTGGCCCAGATAAGGCAGCGAGAGTGGGAGGCAGGGTTGGGGCTGGCAGGCAATGTCCCCCACTACCCAGCGGGAAACCGAGGCTCTGGAGAACTTAGTGCCAATACCCCGGGTCTAGAACACAGGCCTCTGGCAATTTCCACATCCACAATGCCAGGGCAAGACTAGGCTCACCTCCATCCCAGGGCCCTGCAAGAGGCCCCCACAGAACCCTCCTACCACGCTCACTCTGTACAGGAAGGACTCTCAGGCAGAGGTCTAGCTGTGCCAGAGTGAGGGCGCTCGCACCCTCTCCTGCCATGGGGTCTCAGGTCAGGCTCCCAGCAGGCCTGGAGTGGGGTGTGGAGTGAGAGCCACCCAATCCCGTAGGGACAGGTTTCACAACTTCCTGGACTGGGCTGTGGTGGGTCACAGTGCAGCCTCCAGCCAGCAGGATGGGGTGGCTCCCACTCCTGCTGCTTCTGACGCAATGCCCGGGGGCCCCTGGTAAGTGCCCCCCACCCTGATCCCCATCTGCCTTCAGGAGCGAGTTGGCCCAAGCCAGGAGCTCACTTTCCCGCAGGGCACGGAGCAGTGGCCTTGGCCTCTTGAGCAGAGCTGGGAAGCCTGGGAATACATAGTCACCCTGCTCGCTCAGGCCTCCGGCAAGGCCACTGGAGCATAAGGCCGTGTTGAGGCCGCACAGATGCACACACACGCCGGCACTGACTCCTCCTGGGTCCGGCCTACCCCCTAATCTCACAGACGCTGGTGAGAGCCCAGACATGGCGTCAGGATGCCTGGGCTGGGTCCCCCTAGAAGACACGATGGCTCTTTGCCCTAGCAAGTCCCACGGGGCTCGCGCCATCACCCACTGCTCTCTTGGGGGGCGTGTGTTAGACTCGAACCCAGCGCCTGGCCTGTACACTGGAGTTCTGGTGGTCACCGCCACGTCCCGGCCTGCTTCTCCCACCTATGCAGGGAAGCTGGTCCTTGCAAGTGCACAGGGGCCAGCCTCAGAGGACTTGTAGCGCTGAGCCCCGGGATGGGCGGACTATAAACCTGCTAGTATACAGGCACGGACAGCCGAGCCGAGCCCACCAACCCTGTGCCCACCCTGCAGGGCAGCGCTCGCCCCTGAATGACTTCCAGGTGCTCCGGGGCACAGAGCTGCAGCACCTGCGACACGCAGTGGTGCCCGGGACTTGGCAGGAGGATGTGGCCGATGCCGAGGAGTGTGCCAGGCGCTGTGGGCCCCTGCTGGACTGCCGGTGAGTGGCAACAGCAAGACTGGGGGCCCGGGAGCCTGGGCCGCTGGGTCACCCTGTGCCTCCCCCTCCCCAGGGCCTTCCACTACAATGTGAGCAGCCGTGGGTGCCAGCTGCTGCCCTGGACCCAGCACTCGCCCCACACTCAGCTGCAGCGTTCAGGGCGCTGTGACCTCTTCCAGAAGAAAGGCAAGCAGCTAAGGAGAGGCGAAGGGGTGCGGGACTCTGGGGAGGGAGGAGGGGAAGGTATGGGGTCCCGGCCACGCTCTGGTTACTTTTCCTCTTTTGCTCCCAGACTATGTTCGGACCTGCATCATGGACAATGGGGCCGGGTACCGAGGCACCGTGGCCATGACTGTGGGTGGCCTGCCCTGCCAAGCCTGGAGCCACAAGTTCCCCAATGACCACAAGTGAGACAGATACCTTCGCTCGGTCCCTGCCCAGAGCGTTCTCGCAGCGTGCACTGTGGTGACGCTCCCGGCTCCCAGGTACACGCCCACACTCCAAAATGGCCTGGAGGAAAACTTCTGCCGCAACCCGGACAGGGACCCCGGAGGTCCCTGGTGCTACACGACAGACCCCACTGAGCGTTTCCAGAGCTGCGGCATCAAGTCCTGCCGGGAGGGTAAGCGGCTTCAGGTGAAGCCCAGGGACGGAGGGGCAGGCCCACGCCCGCCCACGAACGCACTACCCCTGTGCCTCAAGCCGCTTGTGTTCGGTGCAATGGCGAGGATTACCGCGGCGCAGTGGACCGCACTGAGTCGGGACGCGAGTGCCAGCGCTGGGACTTGCAGCACCCGCACCCGCACCCCTTCCAGCCCAGCAAGTACGCGCAGGCGGGATCCGCACCTCGGGGGAGGGACTAGGGCGGGCCCAGGCTCTGGGGCGGGGCTCTGCGCAAGGCGACTGGGCGGGGCGTCCGCCCACGCTGCCGCCTCCAGGTTCCTCGACCAAGGCCTGGACGACAACTACTGCCGGAACCCCGATGGCTCCGAGCGGCCCTGGTGCTACACCACGGACCCTCAGCATGAGCGAGAATTCTGCGACCTCCCCCGCTGCGGTAGGCCTCGACGAGGGACACGTGGGGGGCGTGGCTGGCTAGGGAGGGGCCAGGAGGCGTGGCCCAGTAACCAGCTAATCTCGCTGAGAACCTGGGACCAGCCAGTGGCTCCTGCGG